CTGTTGCCCCGAGAGCCAGCCCGAGACTCACTCAACCATCCTGTTTTCCTCCCAACAAATCACTTTTTCAAGGGGGAAACAGGAAATCTACATTTTTAACTCAGGTACTTGTATGATCTTTATTTGCAGGACCCCTAGTTTTCAAATTTTATTATTATTTTTTAAATATATCTTTATTGATTTCAGAGAAGAAGGGAAAGGGAGAGAGAGATAGAAGCAACAATGATGAGAGAGTCATTGATTGGCTGCCTCCCGCATGCCCCCGAATAGGGATCGAGCCCACAACCCAAGCACGTGTCAAATTTTATTTTAGAAAAAGAGAAGGCCCGGCCGGGCATGGCTCAGTGGTTGAGCATAGACCTAGGATCCAGGAGATCGGGGTTCAACTCCCAGTCAGGACACATGCCTGGGTTGAGGGCTACAGCTGATCAATGACTTTCTCATCATTGATGTTTCTATCTCTCCCTCTCCCTCTCCCTTCCTCTCTCTGAAATCAATAAAGATATATTTATTAAAAAAAAAAGAAAAAAAAGGAAGAAGGAAAAGGAGGGATGGCAATACCTGTAACTTCCAATGAAGCTACAGTGCAGGCGTGACTGGACCAGCTGCTATGTAATGTGAGGGCTCCTCTGTGTTACAGCTCCGAGCAACGACACCCCAGCCTCTCCCCTGCACAGGCGCCCACACCTGTGCTCCCTGGGTTCCAGCCCTGACTACAGACAGTACACCCTTGACTTTGTGGACCTCGACTTAACTGACTTCGGATTTAATGGACAAAATTTTCTGTCTGTATATCATATGTTAAAATTAACACCCTGTTAATTTTAAAATGCTTTTAACCTAGATTTGCTTATTATTAAATTAACGGCTTATTTTTTTTGTCATTAGTTTACTGTTATTTTTATATATTTATTTTTCAATCCTCACCTGAGGATATTTTTTCCGTTGCTTTTCAGAGAGAGTGGAAGGGGAAGGGAGAGGGAGGGAGGGAGAGAAGCATGGATGTGAGGGAGACACAGCGATGGTTTCCTCCCATACTCACCTAGCCAGGCCCAGGGACTGAACCTGCAACCAAGGTACATGCCCTTTGTCGGAACTGAACCCAGGACCCTTCAGTCTGTGGGCTGATGCTCTAACCACTGAGCAAATCCGACTAGGGCAGTTTACTGTTATTTTTAACAAATTTTATTGAATTGGCCATATGTTGGAAAAAACACTGTAGTAAACTTGCCAACATAAATAATTATTACCTATCTACAGTTGCAGTCTACCTGTTTAAATCCAAGAGTCAGTGCTTGTAAACAGTGTTTGGGGAATGATTCACGTGTGATCACAGGGCATTGATCGAGGTAACTGGTGCTGTGTCTCCTGGCCTGGCTTTCTGCAGCAGTTTTAACACCTGTGGCCAGTGTTCCACCCTGACGAGCCACGCCCTAGCTGTGGGTACGTGTTCACTCGAGGTGACTGGGGAATGCTGGCGTTTACTAGGCATAGTCAGTATAAATGTAAAATTACAGTAATACACATAGAAAACTTTTCCGTGAAATNTAGCTGTGGGTACGTGTTCACTCGAGGTGACTGGGGAATGCTGGCGTTTACTAGGCATAGTCAGTATAAATGTAAAATTACAGTGATACACATAGAAAACTTTTCTGTGAAATTACACTTTTCATACATACTTACTTTTAATTATACCAACAGGTAGAAACACGTAAACTAACTATTTTGCCAATTTTTTCACATACATATTCTGAAACCCCCCTTTCCTGTATAATGGACTTTCGGCTTTAATGGACACCCCGGCCTGAACTGGTCCCCGCGGGCGGTCTGACTGCGGCCTCCCTCAGGGTGCCCTCAGCGCACCCGCCTCCTCGCCTGGCCTGCCCGTCGCCCGCGGCCTGGAATACCTCTCCTCCTCGCTGTCTCTTACCTTGCTCAGATGCCACCTCCCCCGCTCTAAAATAGTGTCCCTTCCTCATCTGCACCATTCGACGCGGTGTATCTCTCACCAAGCCACTCAGCACCATGGCTAGAGCCAGTTGTCACCCGCTGGGCTTCTGCCTGGACGTGCCCTGTGTACCTTTAACAAAGAGCCATCTCAGCTCTGCTTCCCTGCTCTATGCCCGTCCCTGCCCGCCCCGCGCCCTGCCCTGCGCCTCATGCCCCCTTGCACGCCCCGGCCCCCAGGGCGAGCGTCTGCGGAGTCGGAGTCAGGGCCGGAGCACTCGCCCCCCTTCAGTGAGGTCAGGCCTCACAGGGAGGGAGCCGGGCTGTNCGCGGTGTATCTCTCACCAAGCCACTCAGCACCATGGCTAGAGCCAGTTGTCACCCGCTGGGCTTCTGCCTGGACATGCCCTGTGTACCTCCAACAAAGAGCCGTCTCAGCTCTGCTTCCCTCCTCTATGCCCGTCCCTGCCCGCCCCGCGCCCTGCCCTGCGCCTCATGCCCCCTTGCACGCCCCGGCCCCCAGGGCGAGCGTCTGCGGAGTCAGGGTCAGGGCCGCGCACCCAGCCGAGGAGTCTCCACAGGCCCGGGCACTCGCCCCCCTTCGGTGAGGTCAGGCCTCACAGGGAGGGAGCCGGGCTGTGGCCAGTGGGTGGGGTCAGAGCCCAGGAAGAGAACACCCCCCAAAGTGCAGACTGTGATACCCGGGCATTTTAGGTGACACACAGGTAACTTTTTAAAACTGTGATTATATCTCATATTTATTAAAAATGAATATAATTAGCATATTAAGCCTATGATTTCATAAATATGCTTTAATAAAAGGTTTGCATTTGAATGAAAATGAGTTGGTGTGAAGAAAAACATTACATAAATAATAATAGAGGGTATGGCCAAACGATGTGCTTGGGAAGCATCGGACAGAGAAAATGCTTCCCGGGTTGGGGGGTGAGGAGTGTCCCGCGGGCCGGATCCCCTGGGAGCGCCCGGGGATGAACAGGCTTGTCTGCAGAGCTGTGCCGCTGTGCAGGGCCTCTGTCCGAGAGCAGGAGGCAGACGCAGTGTCCCATCACTACGGTCTCTTCGCCAGGCGAAGAACCGTGCTGGTGGGTGTCACCTCCCAGATACGGCCGTGGGGATTACACCCTCTCCTGAGACTGTCCCGGCAAAGGACCCAAATGCAAATTTGCTTTGTTTCCTGCAAAGCACAACTCTACAGAAAGGAAACCACTGCAAAGCCATCCTTTCCCGGCACACATCTCAGGGCTCCATTCGCCACCCACTTTCGTCATCCTGTCCAGTCACGTGGTCAAAGCCACAGCGTGGGCCCACTGTAGGCCTTAGAAGCACCCAGGGAAAACTAGAAGCACTTACCTTCAGTTCTGCAGTTCCTTCCTGGCTGCTGGCTGGAGGCTCGGTTCCTTGCTGCATGGACCTCTCCAGAACATAGTGGCCAGGGTCATCACAAAGCCTCCTCCTACATGAGGTGACGAGAAACAAACACTTCTCTGCTCATTTTCACGATAGCATACACTCCTTTTCTGTCCCTGTTCTATGTTCCAGAGGAGTCCCCCGCTTGTGGTCCCACCAGCGTCGCCAGAATTTGAAACTGGACAGCGAATGGGTCTGGGCTGCCTCTGCTTATAGTTGTCCAATAGCAATTTGTAACTATTTTTAAAAACATAAGTATTATATGTGGGTAAAACTAAAGCAAACAAAAATTTAAAAACTGATAATCTCTATTTTGATTACATTTTAGTTGCTAATATGTCTTTTAACTTAGTTTGGTGTAAGTAAAATTATGCTGTGACATAAATTAGGTAATAATTATGTTTCTTTGTAAAAGAAATATGTTTGGTGAGATGCTGTCTTTGTTGCTTTCTTTTATAATAAAATAATACAGTTTGAATAAAATGTAATATTTGGGGGGAAAACACAAAAGAACTAGCAGCATTTAAAACGACCTTGTTTTAATGCCACACATCTTCCTGTGGGAAAATTGGAATCCACTCCGCTGTTCTCTTAACTAGTCTCCAGACAGACAGTCAGGTGGGGGAGTGAGCATGTGCTAGGCCCAGCGTGAAAGATTCAGCCGCATCTCCGCACAGTCCCATCTCACCTCAAGTCAGGTGTCTAGTGGACTTGCCCTCACTGCAGCAAGGTCCCTCCCAGAGCCCACTGAGAGGCCTCTGATTAAAATTAAAACTGAAAAGCTGCAGCGTTGCTTCATGAGGATCCCCCACCTACTGGCTCTAGCGATCTGTTCATTTTAGTGCAATAATATGGAGATTGTATCTCCTAAAACAGGGCACACCTTGTCCTTCACATGAATGCTCTGGGATTTGAGGCCTTGGTTTAAAAAAACAACAACAAACATGACATCCTCAGATATTTAAGTGCCCAGGCTGCCTACTGGTGGACTGCTGTTTCTCAGTGGAAATGGATCTGCTGGCAGCTGTGGAACGGTGCGTAAAGCCGGCGTCGAGCAGCTGCGCTGTTGGTTTCCCTGAGAAACGTGGTTTCCTTTCTCCCCAAGGCTGTTCCTCGGCTCGGCTTCGGAGGGTGACACTGGATGGAGCAATGCTTCGTGGCTCACGACAATATCACAGCAGAATATTTTGTGCGCGCTGTGATTTTATCACCCACTGTGCGCAGGCCATAAAAGTGCACTTTTATCAGGAATATTTGTGAATATATAGCAGCACTGAAGATGTGGCCACTAAATAATTCACAGTTACCTCTCTCCTCTGCAGATTCCTTATACCCTGCCATGTTTGAATGCCTAGTTTGCTCAGAAACAATATTCTTCATGACCCTGCCAATATAAAAACGTCTCCTGACTGGCAGCAATGGATGGGTGCCAGGGGGCGGCCCTGAGGAAGGGAAAGCCCTTCGCTCCCTCCACCTCTCCCTGTCCTGGCCCCTTTCCCCGGAGCTCTTTGACCAGCACCTAGCGTCATAGGAGAAGGTGCCCTTCCCGAGAGTGGGTGCTAAATTCTGACTTGAGAACTTGGGCTGTGAGATGGAACTCACCCGCCACCCTCCTCTCTTCCCAGTTCCATATCCACCTACAGCCCCAGGGAGAACCCGAACGCCTTTGACGCCGCGGCGCTCTTCCAGTCCGTGGGGAACTTCCTGGGGATCTTCGCCGGCTCGTTCGCCATGGGGTCTGCCTTTGCAGTTGTCACGGCCCTGATATCCTTTGTCTGGTGGGGAAAGCTGGGGGCCATGTCTTTGGAATGTTTTTGAAATAGGACAGCCTCCAGACCTGGAAACGACTAGTCTGGTTCCAGGGTGACGCCGTGCCACTGGGGCCATCGGAGTCTCCCTCCAGGCAGAGGCCGGTGCCAGTGGCAGAGGGGCCCAGGCTCTCTTCCTGCCCAAAGCTCACTGTGGGTGTAAACAAGCCTTCGTCGCTCCTCTATGGAGAGGGACCTGCACGCAAGGCAGGGACGATGTTTCCCATGTCTGGGCGATTGTGTCGTCTCCCACCTCTTTTGCTGCAGAGGTGGGGGGACCGGTGGCGCTCTTAGAGGATTTGAGCCAGAATGAAGCTGGTTGGGTGCGCGGCTCGCTTAGAGCAGCTGGGAGGAAAGCCAGAGCCAAGGGCAAGTGTGAGGGTTCAACGAAGGCCACAGACAAGGGTTAAAAAGCAGAGCAGCCCGGCCAGCGTGGCTCAGCAGTTGAGCGTTGACCCAGCACCCAGGCGATCGGGGTTCGAGTCCCAGTCAGGGCACAGGCCCGGGTTGCGGGCTCAATCAATGACTCTCTCATCATTGATGTTTCTCTCTCTCTCTCCCTCTCCTTTCCTCTCTCTGAAATCAATAAAGATAGATTTAAAAAAAAAAAAAAAGCAGAGCAAAGGGTTAAAAACAAAAGACCTTGAGGAAAAGAGAAGGAAAGAAGGTGTAAGAGGGCTCCAGGCCCCAAGCAAAGGAAGAAACACGTTGGGGCCTTTTTCCATGGGGACCGACTAGCCACTAAAGTCTGGGTTCTCCTAAGTGTTCCTAAGATGCTGGAATATGAGTAACACATGGACTCTGACTTCAACTAGAGACAAGCCTGGAAGGACAAGCTGTACATAATAGCTGGATAGAAAGTGAATGCCAGAGCCAGAGCCAACTTATTAGGACTATACACATTGAAATGGGGTGAGGACATGGCGTCTGGAATCGTCCAATAGACTTGTGGCCAATCTCATGATTCTGGAAAATAATTTGAAAAGCAGTGTTTACGTGCAAAGTTAGACTAGGACTTGGCCTGAAAGGGGTAGAATATAGCCAAGGCCACGTGATAAGTGAATCAAGGGAAGTGGGGGTGGGACTGAGGTGGCACATAGCACATGTGCCTGGGAGGACCAGAGGGTTTGGGCCAGTGAGCGATGGAAGGTGAGGGGACATAGTAGGATGGGGTCAGGTGAGGAGCATCTTGGAGTGTTACTCAGACGAGGGCCACACACCAGAAGTCCTGCTCTAAAACATGAACAAGCAACTGGACGTAGGGTGATCAGGTCAGGAGGGTTAGAACCAAAGAAAACAGGTGATAATTGTGGGAGAAACATCAGAAGGAGACCAGTATTTAGAAAAACCTCTTCAACTTACTGGTTGGTTGGTTACAAGAGATAAAGACAGGGAGAGAATCCAAGTCCACTCCTAAGTTTTTTCCTGGAAACCCTAGAGAATGCCAACTCATCAACAGAAATAAAGTAAGTCAGAGAAGGTAGGCTGATTTCTAACAAAAATACTGATTAATAATCTCCCCAGTATTTACAGCACGTCAGGGCCCCAATATTTGTTTAATATGCAATACCTCATCTGACATTCATAATGATCATACCACACAGATGTTATTTTTATTGGACTTGAAGCTCAGAAAGGGTTAGCACTGCTCAAGGTCACGCAGCTGATGGGTGGAGCCACGATTCAAACCCAGGCACTGAAACCAAGAGACAGACCATGCTCCTGAACACTGCTCCCCACTGCCTCGTAATTATTCAGTGGAATTATAATGGAGGTCACGGGTTTAGAGTGATAGCAATGATAATAGCAACATTCAGATGTCAGCATGTGCAGGGTCTTTACATACATCTCCTCACTTGAGCCACCCCTGTAAGACCGGTTATGATTAACCTCACCCTAACATGGGGACACTGAGGTCAAGGAGGCTAACTAGCTCACTCTGGGTCACATATCAGCAGTAATTAACATGATAATAATAATGTCATCTAGCATTTATTGAAAACACTATCGAGTGCCAGCCATTGTCCTTAGCAATCTGCATGGATTATCTGAGACAGCTTCTATGAGAATCCAAAAGGAGAGACTGTTACTTCCTGAGTTTTCAGCTGTAGAAACTGGCACATGAAGGTTAAACAACCTGTCGGGGTCACATGGCCAGGGCATTTCAGGGGTGGCATTTAAACCCAGGCTTTGGGCTCCAGAGCCTGCCCTAGATGAAGGAGCTGAAACCGAAGCTCTCCTCTGCCTGACGTGAAAAGAACATGTGGCACAAAAGTAAACGAGCTGATAAGGGAAGGGAAAAGTCCCAGGAGATTGAAAGTCTTCCACGAATTGGATCAGATCTGGACAAAAGGGTGGAGAGACAGAAGAGACGGTGACTCGGTCACAGTGACAAGACCCATCATGCGGCCCCCGGTGGCCCTGGTGCCCCAGGAACTCAGGGTGCGCAGGAGACAGGGCACAGGCATCCCCCACGGCAATCACCCCCCACCCCGTCCACGGCCAGGCTGAGGCTCCTCAGGGTGCAGGCCCCCGACGAGCTTGGGGCTTGACCCAGAGCTGAATGACCTTCTTCAGGAGGGTGGAAAACAAGGCCCTGGGCCCACGGGATGCCCGAGCCCTCCGGCAGCGGAGTAGAGGAGGGAGTCAGAGCAATGGCCCACTAGAAACAGCCACCCTCCCGGCCCCGAGAGGGGCGCTGAAAGGGTCAAGGGCGGCCACGCGCTCCTCCGGCTAAGAATCACTCCCAGGTCCTTCCTGGGTCTGTTTCCAGAAGAGGACTTTTTTAGAACAAATTCATTTAAATCACACTAATAGAAAAACTGATATCCCTTGTTGCTTACCAGGCACAGTCTTCTGAGAGCTTGACGTACAGTAACTGGTTTACACACCCAGCAGGTGGGTTGAATTATAACTCCCATTTCCACACAGGGAAACAAGGCTCGGAGTGACGGAGGCACACGTCCAGGCTAACACAGCAGATCTGAACCCAGGTGGAGTCACTTCCACAGGGCACACTCTCAACCGGGACACGTTCTGGTTTGCAGCGTTAGAAGCATTTTGCACCTACTTCATCTTGCTTTCCTCCTCGCCTCGTATGAGCAGGAATTATTCGCCCTGACAGTGCACATAGGACCGAAGCGAGGCTCAGAGAGATTAATGTATTGCTCAGGAGTCACCCAGCCAGTGACTAGCAGAGCCGAGATATGGGCCCGGATCTTCTACCCCAAGGGTCATGCTTTTTGCTTCCCTGCCCTGCTGCCAAACACCTCTTAATGTGGACTCTTCTTTAGATTTTTTTTTTCTAGAAGCACAAAAAATGCAACATTTCATCTTATTTGTCAGAGTGTTTTTGCCTAACTGTGGACACGGTAGCTATGTAACCCGTTCCCATGGATCACATCCTCCTAATCATCTTCCCATGACCCATTTTCTGCATGACTTGGGTCACTGTGCCTTTGCTCTATTTGCAATTTGTAGGCCACAGCCAAGTGTCATCCTGGCCACCATGAACCTCTGCCTGACCTAGAAGTAATACACATTTTCCTCTATCCCTCTCAGAGCAAGCGGCATGGCGGCTTCCCCACCACTGGATAGGATGCTGCTCCTGGTCCTCTTTACCTCCACAGGAGGGAAGGGTGCTCCTGGTGTCTGTCCACAAACGAGCCCACCCCTCCCCAGGGAGCAGCTGCCTCCTTTGGCGCTGATGGTCTGTGTCTCATCCACCCCCACTCTGTGACTTTGCTCCCCAGGTCTGCTACAGTCTCCTGCGGGACACACCCCAGGGCCCAAGTTCAAATTCAAGAGGTTGTGTGTCCACAGGTAGCTGATCTTTTCCTCTTAGTTGGACACTTTTCCTTCTTTATCTGAGCACAAGTTTGTATTTTTACCAGAGTGTCCGGGGCCCAGTGAAGCCAGGAAGCCGTGCTGGCTTCGAGCAGCCTCAGGGGGTTACGGCCGCCAACCAGGTCTGAGATCGGTCCTACTCAGAGACTAGCACAACCGTATCAGTTCCTCTCAGCCAAGGAGATTTAGCTGCTAAAGCAATTGTTTCCCTTAACGCATCTTCCTCACTTGACCAAATTTACAAAGCTGCACGAGCTCCCCCTGCTGGAGACGGGCCTGCTCTTCCTCCTGTCCTGGAGCGCCTTCTTGTCTGCAGAAGCCGCTGGCCTCACAGGTATGTGTCCCAGGCAGCCCTCCTGGGTGCTCCAGGGAGAAACAAATAATAATTCATCCATTTTGTACACAACAGCTTAACTGAAAGTCTCCAAAACGCCATTTCCTCTTCTCTCCTTGCTGGTCAGGAGGGGATGGTAAAATCTATTAATGACTAATTAACAGAGGTGATGGATAACTTTAGGAATGGCTGCTAACAGCAATGCCCACCTACAGAGCCTCTCCCCATGTGCATAAGTCCACGCTCAGTATTTAAACTCTTTGCACACTCACTATGGCAGGCCAGAAAACCGCTATGTGAGGCTCCACAGCTCAATATCTTCTCCAGAGAGTCTATAGACAGGGTCCTCTGAGGTGGAATGATTGATAGAAAAAAGGGCAGCCCCTAAGGTCCTAGGGCCATGGATCCTGTGGTCTGGATTCAGCAATTAGGTTGCCTTTCAGTGGCAGTGAGAGTTTGCATTTGGGTAGCTGCAAGGATTGGGTGCTTTCCCATGTAAAAGAATCACTGTGGCTCCTACAAAATGTCAAAGCTATTTCTCTCCTTTGGCCTCTTTTCTGCTTCCCCTGGGTGTCAATCCCTGATCCTTGGTACTCACTACATCTTAACTGGCATTAAAGTGGCCAGGATCCCTGCTGAGGTGCTAACTGGTAACAGGGTACCTCCCTATGCAATTAANATCTTAACTGGCATTAAAGTGGCCAGGATCCCTGCTGAGGTGCTAACTGGTAACAGGGTACCTCCCTATGGTAATTTGCATTTTAATTGTCAGTACTTTAAATCCAAATAATAATAAAAGTCAACTTATTGAAAGTGAACTATGCTACCACAGGGTGCTTGCTAACTGCCTTTTAGAAATGTTCTCATTAATTTACAGAAAGATTCAAAGTTAGGAACTATATATGTCTAGTTTACTAGTGGGGAAGCTGAGATTTAAAATTAGGAGATTTGATTCCAAAGCCTGGGCTGGTGGGCACTACGCACCACTACCTTGAATGAAATTTCACCTGTGAAATATGAGGCAAGCCCCCAAGGATAGAAAAATATTTGGGCCCCAGGAATCTGCTGGTCCATTTGCTCTTAGGCTGGTTTTGGTTGTCTTTTGAACACAAACTCCTTGGCAAATCTTTTTTTTTAAATTTATCTCTATTGTTGAGAATATTACAGATGTCCCCCACTTCCGACCCCCAAAACAAAGATCATAACAAGAGACAAAGAAGAACACTACATAATATTAAAGGGATCGTTCCAACCAGATGATATAACCCTGGTAAACATATATGAACCCAATATAAGAGCACCTAGATATATAAAAAAACTCTTGGAGAGATCGACAGCAATACAGTCATAATAGGGGACTTTAACACCCCACCGATTTCACTGGATAGGTCTTACAGACAAAAAATCAACAAGGAAACATGACCTTAAATGACACACTAGATCAGATGAATTTAATTGACATTCACAGGACTTTTCACCCCAAAGCTGCAGAATTCTTCTCAAATGCACAAAGGATATTCTTAAAGATAGACCACATGTTAGGACACAAAACAAGTCTCTACAAGTTTAAGAAGATTGAAATTGTATAAAGCATCTTCTCGGATCACAATGGCTAGAAATTATATATCAACAACAGTAAAAACACTCAAAAACATTCAAACATGTGGAGGCTAAATAGCATGTTATTAAACAATGAATGGGTTACCAAAGAGATCAAGGGAGAAATCAAAAAGTTCCTGGAAACAAATGAAAATGAACACACAACACCCCAAATCTTGGCACACTTTTTTGTAATGATGTCTATCCTGGTGCTCTGGGCAGCTGACCCAAGTTACTGTAGAGCCACAGGGACCAAGCGATTCCCTCAGGCTTTGAGTGTGTCTGTCACTCACACCGAAAGCCACCCTGCCAGTTATGATCTTATGACCCTGTAATCAGACTACATCACCAGAGGCCACCCTACTGGTCCTTGTATCCAAATCATCCAACACAACCTCCATTATGTTAGTGCCTTGCTAGTTGGTAGGGAGGTTGCTGAAGAGCTTGTGTGCCCAAGACAAAGAACACTAGTGTCCCGTAAATGAAATAATAGAGGTAAACAATTTATATCCATCATTCAAAAATTGTTGGTTCCCTCTTCTTCATATTTTGTGCCCTTTTTATCACTTAACATGTTGTAAAATATGTGAGTAATATTAACGATAAGAATACATATTTCACCTTCCAGGAAGGTAGAAAAGTATCTTAACTCATCTGATAATTTTAGTCTACTGTTGAACATTGGAATAAACACACATGCATGCACACACACATACATACACTCACAAAAATTGTTTGTTTCTGTGTGTGAAATTGTCTTTCTATTTTCTGGTCCATTTCAGCAAGATTTTGTTTTATTAACTGTTTTAAAGGTTATGGTCCATGTATAAATTGCTAGTTTATGCGCCTTGCTCTTGGACCACACTTGTCAACCCTTTGTCCTTAGTGGATGTCACGGAGGCCACTCTAAGGAGCCAGCATGATGGGATGGGAGATGCAGGTGTGCCCCTCAGTAGCAGAAAGACCCAAATGCCCACGGCTGCGCCCAGGGGCACGCCCAGTGCGGAGCAGTGCTGCGGATAGCAGTATGCGGGGTGGGCATTTGCCGCAGACCAGCCTAGGTGTGAGCATTTTCTGCTGCCAAAGACCAAGCCTGCTGTGTCCAAGTTACTTATGTGTTTGCTTATTAATTATTTAATCCTTTCCTATTTCCAACTTGGATTTGAGACAACTTATAACATGCATATCACGGGACCATTTAGTTGAGGGTAAACACTCAATTGCTTTTGGATAGAGTTTTTCTGCAAAATTAAGAGAAACTCTTAATTGCTGTGGTGTGTCAATAAATATAGCTCTGAGCTTTCCGGCAGCCAAAGCCAAAAGGGAAGCATGGTGAGTTACATAGGAAAAATGCAGCATTATGAAAGAAAGTCATACTTATTTGTAAAAATGGTCTAGCTGCTCTTCCGGTACTAAAATTTTAGGGGAACTTATCACACGCTTTCTTATATAAGGGCCTTTCCACACCACAGTGGACAGTGTATTTAATAATCGTTTCAAGGGAGATGGAGATCTGTTCTTCATGTAGTCCTTTCCCATCTCACCTTTCAAGGAAACCCGAGGGGGTGGTATCCATCAGGGCAGTGTAATGATAAAAATCCTTCTAGTTCTATCTAGTTCTAATCCACACATAAATTAACATAATGCAAAGCTAAAATCTAAAACCTTTAAGAAAGCGCTTAGCGGATGAGTATTGGACAATGAATACAGTGACCCAAACGGAATGAGTAACTGGGNACATAATGCAAAGCTAAAATCTAAAACCTTTAAGAAAGCGCTTAGCGGATAAGTATTGGACAATGAATACAGTGACCCAAACGGAATGAAGGCCAACAGCAGTCGCCCTGCGTGGGCTCCCTAAGCCCAGCCTGTGGTCCTGGGAGTGGGGCTCACAGCAAGGGTCCCACAGTCCCCAGCCTGGCAGTTCAAAGTGGGTGCTCCAGGGGTTGCCAAGTGAGCAGGGCTCTAGGCACCCAGCTTCACCCCTTATTATTGGTTTCACGAATTAGGTTTTCACCTAAGATCTTATTTTAAAAAGGATTTCTTTTGCTTCAGACAAAGCACATCTGCCTTTAAAAACATATTTTTTTACTTTTCTCTTAATACCAAAGTAATGCATATACAGAGTGAGACAATAGTAGGTTTACAGTTGTGAGTGTGTGAAACACAAGGTTTATTTTTATATTATTTATTAATTATTGTATTTTCCATATGAACAACTGTAAAGCTACTTTTGCCCCACCCTCTACATGTAGAAAATGCAGGTTCATAGAAGGAAATAAATTAGAACTACCTATATTCTTACCACCTATTAATACTGTTGTTAACAGGGGTCTGAGTCCATCTAATTATACGCATATGCACATAATATATGCATGCCTATATGTATTTACACTGTTTATTTCTAAGTAACTTGCTTTTTCCTCACTCGACAATTTACAGTAAATGTTTTTCAAGGCATCACATACTCTTCTATCTTGTATTTTTAGTGGCTGCCTAGTACTATATCATATCAACTTGCCATAATTTATCATACCATCTTTTTAATTGTTTATCGTTTTCAACAGTATTAATATAATTGCAATGGTAATCCTTACAGATTGATGTGTGGATTTCTATTTGTATAACTGCCTAAAAATAAAATTGCTGGGACAATAAGAAGGCTAAGATTTTAATGTCTTGGAAAAATCCATCCAAATTATCCTCTGGAAAATTTGTGCCCCTTTGCACTTTCACCAGCAGCGTAAGAGGGAGCTCGCTCACCCACCCTCAGGCTTCCTCGTCCCTGCGACCGACCACCAGGCCCCGCTTCATTCTGCTCTAAAGTCATTATATTTTCACCGAGGAAAGCGTTCTAACTGCACGTCAGTGGCAGCTTTCATTTCTCCTTTGGTGAACTACTACNGACCACCAGGCCCCGCTTCATTCTGCTCTAAAGTCATTATATTTTCACCGCGGAAAGCGTTCTAACTGCACGTCAGTGGCAGCTTCCTCGCTCCTTCGGTGAGCTACTATCTGTCCTCTTGTCTTCTTTCCCTACTGAGATGCTTATCTTTGTCACATTAAGTTTCAGGAGCTCTTTTCCCACTAAGAAAATTAACCTTTTGACTGTCGTATAGGCTATAGATACCCTGTGTTTTATTTTTTTTAGGTAAGATAAAAGGTTAGGATAGACATTTTCAAGCTTTCTGAGGGTAGTTTTATCTCCTCATTACAAGGTTTTATTAATTTATGTTTAGAAAGCCTAAATGTTTTCCNTTTTCAAGCTTTCTGAGGGTAGTTTTATCTCCTCATTACAAGGTTTTATTAATTTATGTTTAGAAAGCCTAAATGTTTAATAGTTGTCTGGTTTGATTTTTACGTTGGAACCCCACTGGAACTTGCTTTGCTGTGAGGGGCAG